AAAAAAGAAATAAATGCACAGAGGAGGAAAATCTCAACTCCTTCTACATATAGGGTCACAGATTTAGAGCGGAAAGGATCTTAGAGGTCCCCTGATTTTACAGAAAAGGAAATTGAAACATGTCAAAGGTGAGATTGGAACCCAGGTTTTCCTGACTCCACGTCCAGTCTCTAGCCACCAGACCATGGCATCATGCCAAGCTATTCCAGGAGTGCTGGTGCTGTATAAAGAGCATCTGATTTGGATACAGAGGCCCTGGGTTTACTGCTCACCCACTGGGTGATCTCAGGCAGACATTTCACTGCTATGAGTCTCAGTTTCCTCACCTGGAACATCAATCAATCAATTGATCAATCAAGCAGGCTTTGGGAAGTAAGTGCTGACTAGGGCCTGGCCCTGGGCTAAGCCCACTGAGATACAAAAGACAAGAGGGAAGCGACTTCTGCCCTCTGGGAGCTTACATTCCAGTGGGCCTCAAGGGGGGAGCTGGGAAGCGCCAGAGATACTAGAGCTAAGCCAACACTTCACAAGCCTGAAGTAAATGTCTGCTGGTAGGACTGTTCTGCCGGCAGGATTTAATTAGCTGGAATAAATCCAGGAATGTCTCTTCCATACACACACACACACACACACCACATATACCACACATACACACATACACACCCACACACTTACATACTCATCACACACACACCCCACACACACATACACACCATAGACCACATATACCACACATACACACATACATACCCACACACTTACATACTCGTCACACAGACACCACACACACATACACCACATATACCACACATACACACATACACGTCCACTTACATACTCGTCACACACACACACACACACACACACACACACACACACACCCCACCACCACCACCCCACACCATGCCAACCTGAGCAGGTGGGTCTTTCTTTTGGTCCCAGCCCTAAGGGACGGGAGCCCAGCCCACACGTCGCCCAGACAGGCTCAGTTACTGTGGGGCAGAAGGAGCCACAGGCCGGGCGGGCTGCCACCCACAAGCAGCCCAACGGGAAAGCCAGGATGAGGGTGGCAAGGAGGACAGCGGCCCCATGGGGTCGGGAGCCACCTTTACAGGCCTCCAACTCTAAGGTACTAGGAGTTTATCGTCATTATTAGTTGATTTGGGGGTTTGGGGTCCAAGTGTAAGCAGCAAACCCGGCCCTTCTCCTCTTCCATGCCCCTAATTCCAGTTTCACCTTCTAGGAGGGCTAAGGAAGGACACAGGGCAGAGCAGGCAGGGCCAGTCGGGTGTGATGCCTCTGCTTTCTGCTGCCTGATCCTCCCGTCCCAGCTGTCACAACATGGGATGCGGGCCTGCCCCAGAGAAAAGGTGCTGTCAGTGATCAGCCAGCCTCACAGTGGAAGAGAGGCCGGGGCCCTCATCTGGACTTCCTGTCCCCACAGCTCAACTGCTCCACCTCCATGAGGGCAAGAAGTATTTTCTAAGCACCTACTATGTGCCAGGCACAAGTGCACAGGCCAATGAGCCAAGCACAAAGAGCTAGACAGTTCTGGGGCCGGGGGGGGGGGGTGTAGGACCCCGGGCCAATGATGCCTGCCAGGCAGAGGCAGCTGCAATTTCCCTCAGCACCTCCTGCTCCTCTTGGCCAGAAATGAACTTTTCATTTCCTGAAACCAGTCCCCGTTTCCAGCTTTCCTGCCATACAGGCTTGGAAGCTCAGTCACCTCTAACTGCCTTCTCTCTCCCCCTCAGGCGGCCAACTCCTGGTGATTTTATCTCCTCTTCTTTACCATCATCAGCACCCGGCCAATGCCCCAGCTCAGGCCCTCACCCCCACCCAGGCTGGCTACTGCAATAGCTTCCCCGTCAGCCTCCCTGCCTCTGTCTCTCCCCTCCAACCCGCCCTCCATGGGCTGCCAGCTCAATCATGCCAGGGCACAGGTCTGATCACATCACTCTCCAGCTCAAAGACCTGTCATGGCTTCCCACTGATGGCCAAGTAAAGTCTGAACCCCTTAGGGTGGCATTCAAGGCCCCCAGAGAGCCAGCTCTGACATACCTTTCCAGCCTCGATTCATCTTACTTCCCTTCCCTCTGAGTCCCCGTGTCCTGAACACTGGACTTTCTCATCTCCCCATCTTTGCTCCGGCCTTTCCCAAGGCCTGGAATGCCTTCCTACCCCACCCCTCATTGCCACTTGTTTCAATCATATCCACCTCCTCCATGAAGCCCTCCCTGAGATCTTCTCTTCCCCTGACCCCTGTGTGCGTTGCTACTTCGGTGCACCAATCACATTCTTGTTTGTATCTCAGAGCAGTGGCTATGATTGGGGGAGCCAGAGGACTGAGGCTCAATCCCCGGCTCTGCCACAAAACGGTGGTGAGACTGGGCCAGTCGGTTCAACTTTCTGGGTCCCAATTCCTCTTCTGTAAAACAAGGGGGTTGGACTCCCCAAGGTCCCTCCCATTGCTAGATGCTATGACCCTGTTTATGCAAGTGGCTTTTCTCTGGCTGAAGGCAAGGACACCAGCTATGCCCTTTCCCTGATTCTCGGGCACCCAGACTGTGATGGGGAAAGCCTGGCTTTGGGTCCCAAGGCCTGGATGACCTGGGTAACTTGAGGCGCCTCCCTTCTCCTCTCCAGGATTTGGGGTTTGGATGAGATAATCAGGTCCCTCCCAGCACTCAATCCTGCAATCCCAAGAGGCTTGCACACAGCCAGTGCTTAATCGGTGTGGGGGAGTCAATGAATAAAGATGCCTCCTGCTGCCCAGTGGGGGTTCAAGGTTTAGCCTTCAAGAAGAGACTGGGAGGGGCAGCTAGGTGGTGCAGTGGATAGAGCACTGGCCCTGGATTCAGGAGGACCTGAGTTCAAATCCAGCCTCAGACACATAACACTTACTAGCTGTATGACCCTGGGCAAGTCACTTAACCCCATTGCCTAACCCCCCCCCAAAAAAAGAAGTGGCTGGGGCCGGGACCACTAGGCTGTGCTCTGAGCCACCTCCCAGGGCAGCAGGCTCCCAGGGCAGCTGTGGGACATCTGCCCCTGGCCTGCCCCATGCTCCAAGGCGCTGGGAAGCAGAGAGAGAAGAGTGAAGGGCAGGACCATCCTTGAGAACTGACAAGTGGTCAGCTGCAAACCTGCTGAGGCACCTGTTTAGGGTTTCATCCCCAAACAGCAAAGAGACAGGACCATAGAATCAGAGTCTCAGAGCTGGAAGGAACCCCAGGGGCGTCCTGGTCCAGCACTTACCTGACTAAGCATCCTACCACAACACCCTGACAAGCGATCCTCCAGCTTCCACTTGGGGCAGCCTCCACGGACGGGGAGCTCATCACGTGCCCCCAGAAGAACTCGCATTGTCAGAGTTCATCCTTCGATCCAGCCTACCCCAACCTCTTTGTCCCTTCCCCCACGGCTCCTGGTTCTGCCCTCTGGGACAGAACAGAACAAGGCTAATTCTCCCATAATGCCAGCCCTTTAGACACTTGAAGACAACTGTCATGTTCTCTGCCATCTAAACGCCCTCAGTCCCTTCAACTGATCCTCGAATGGGACAGATTCTATAAAATGCACCCACGAGAGCCCTGACCTTAGAGGCAGGAGAAGTGGTCTGAATCCCAGCTGAGACACTTACTAATTACACGACCTTCTACATGCCCCTTCACCTCACTTGGCCTGTTTCTGCGTCTCTAAAAAGGGTGTAATAATCCCCACCTCATCTTCTTCACATGTGAAGAAAGCCTTCGAGAAGCTGTCAAACACTCCAGGAAGGGGAGCTGCTGTCATCCCTCCCCCGGAGCCCATCTCCTCTGTCTCCTCCCTCCCCCAGTGTGACCCTGGCATCAGGAGGGCTGTGCCGGCACCACTGAACTCATTCCAGCGACAGCCTTGCCAAGGCCAGAGAGGCTCAGCACCAGGGCAGCGTCCAGGAGATGAATATGCTGGCCAGAGACACTCACGAAGATTGCTTACTATATCACCAAGGGCCTTGATTTACAACATTGGGATTAGCATCGGCAGGCAGGATCCATCAAGAATGGCAGCAGATGCATTGCTAAACAATCCTGAAGTGTGTGTGTGTGTGTGTGTGTGTGTGTGTGCGCGCGCGCGCGCGCGCTCTCTCTCTCTCTCTCTCTCTCT